GCAAGGGGTAGGCTAATTTCCGCAATTTTTTTTTTTGCGCAACACGGTCATTTGCGCAACTGGATCGTTCGCGCAACTCGCCATAACTTTCTTCTAAGTCGGCCAATCTTTATGATTTTGATTTCATCTTGTTGCACTTATTGAGATCTACAAAATGAAACCAAAATCATAAAGATTGATCGACTTAGAAGAAAGTTATGGAGAGTTGCGACCCAGTTGCGACCCAGTTGACCCAGTTGAACCAGTACGACCCAGTTGCGTAAATAAAATTGCGGAAATTAGCCTACCCGAACGCAAGTGCTAAAATGCAATTGGACGGAACCTTTATATACATTTTGCTCAAACATCCACGTTTTAGGGTGGGGCGGAAAGTAAAAATTGCGTTTTTCTTCATTTCTCAATTGGAAACCTTGTTTTTCATATAGGAAATAGTTATAGAGGAGACTAAAACGCATCGAATAATATATAAATGATCGCGATTCTTGAAAGTCAACTTTTAGGCCGGAGTACCCCTTTAAAGCAAACACTAATTTTAAACAGTTTTAAACACCAAGTCTTAGAATTTCTTTTCAACCCAGAAAATTTCTCTTTCAGCGAGTGCATCTTCACGTAATTGTCTCTGATTATGACAGAGTCGGCTCTAATGAAAGAATTGGACAAGTGAGTTTTTCAAGAGAAGATTTAGAATTAGAGATGGCTGGAAAAGCTTTGATGGCTGGAAAAGCCCACTTTTGACTTGGCTTTGATGTAGCTAATGTTTTGAGCGATTCGTGTAGATACTTTTCTTCTATTCTATTCTATTCTTCTATTCTAATTATCTATGCTGAATCGGTGCTAACTTTAGCGTATTAGATCATTTATATATTATTCAAAAACATGTTTCAAGTTAGTATTGCAGCTTTTCAAATGAAATCATAGATTTGAGATACAGGTTAAAGTACAACAGGCAGGACAAATCATAGGATTTTCAAAAACGTGCTTAAATCGCCTCAAAGCATATATCTCTTTCTTCAGAATAAAAGAAAATTATCGACACGGATCACTCAAAACACTAGATTCGATTAAGCAAGCCGAAAGTGGCACCTCCAAACCATCAAAGTATCGAGTTAGCAATCTTTTGATAAGTATTCCTTTCATTCTACCATCTTTCTACCATAATTCTACAATATTTCTACCATTTCTACCATTCTAAACCAAGATTCCAACCATAATTAATAGAAAGTTGTGCTTACAAATGAAAATCTTTGATAATCTACGCTAAGCTTCTGCGTTGTGCTTACAAATGGGCCATTTTAAACCAAGATTCTAATCATAATTAATAGAAAGTTTATATTAGGTTGTCCAGTTATGAATGCGCGTTTTTACTATTTTGTAAATTTTTCAGGATATCGAACAGATCTATATGAGTGTTATATACCATTCGAAAGCTGAAGATCTCCTCTACATTTTGATATAAAAAACCTTTGGAATTTGTTCAGCTTTTGGGCAAATTGACTGCACAAAGGGAGAGGTCGTTTTCGAAAAAACCCTTTTCAGTTTAGCTATTCCTCAAGTTTTATGGTGTAAAATAACCGCCCAGAAAAGAAAAGAAAAGTAAAGATGCTCTGAAATTGTTATATTTAAAAAGAAGTTGTATTGATATATCTATTGGCCAAACATCAAACGGTTAACTCACTTTGAGCGGAGCCAAAACTTGATCCAAAGACACCCTTCCATTTTTTGGCCACCTCTTCTTCGGTGCAGTCAATTTGCCCAAAAGCTGAACAAATGCAAAAACTTTTTATATCAAAATGTAGAGGAGATCTTCAGCTTTCGAATAATACCCATTTATATGTTTTTCTTGATTTCGGTATCTTGAGAAATTTACAGAATAGTAAAAAACGCGCATTCATAACTGGACAACCCAATATATTGTGCTTACAAATGAAAACCTTCGATAATCTACGATAAGCTTCTATACGATTGATAAGCTTCTATTGTATACCTAGTTCCAAACTAGAAAACTATTCTCTAGCTTTCAAAAACGATCGTTATTTCAGGTGATAATCGGGAACAACGCGAATGGCGTGGCGCTAAAGCAATGGCAAGACATGTTAGCCACCCCGCGACGTTCTGTCGCTCAATGGCACACCCTGCAACCGTTTGGAGATGATTGAAAAGTTGACTTATCGAACAAAAAAGTTATCGTAGCCTTACAGACAAGTGTACGATAGTGTTCGATTCTATTAAACTCTTGATAAGTAGATCTTTCTTCTATCACCCACATCAAAATACAAAACTCTTATTGTGCCACTTTTTTTTTTTGACTCTCATCATTTGACACTACGAAAAGGTTTCTTTATTTCAAAATTTTTTGTCAAGACTACGAAACTTTGTTTATTGCCCTAAATACACTTACCAATCAGCCGACGCTCTACCGGGCCAACGCTCTACCAATCAGCTACACCGACACGTACACTACTGGACAATGAAATATGATATTTGAAAAAAGATCGTCACTTTCGCGCGTCTGTAACTCCCTTGTCTTGACCGTATTTCTAAATATTAATATTACCATTGTGTAGCCCTTGAAAAGAGCTTTCAGAAAATGTATAACACTAAAAGTTTCAACTCAAAGAGAAGGGAGTTACAAACGCGCGAAAGTGGCGATCGTTTTTCAAATATGATATTTCATTGTCCAGTACTGTACCTGTAGATTTTCCCCGGTTAAACACTACAAAAATCCCGGTGTTTTCCTATAAAAGAAACTTTTAAAATATTCTAAAAAACTTGTAACTCTAAAGTTTTCTATTTTTGTCCCAATCTTTCTTGAAATTTCAGGACGATTTATTTCAAAATCTAAACAATCATCGTACTTGTATTTGATAGGTTTGAACAATCGTTCCCAAACTACGAAAAGGTTTCTTTAATTTCAAAATTCTTTGTCAAATCTCTCGATTCGCTTATTCCAAATTCAATTCTGTCAAAAATCTTTCTTGAACTTTCACAATTTTCATTTGAAATTTTCGAATTGTTGTCCCTTCATGTACATACCATATTTTTACCTCTCTCTTTCTCTCTCTCTCTCTCAGGGAGTGGGACAAATGCGACCTTTTTTTTGCGCACCTGGACATTTGCGCACCTTTTTTTTTTGCTGGAAAAGGCCTTAGGAAAGGTCGTAGAGCTTCAAAAATGTTTTCATAGAAGGGAATCGTATGCGTAGATTCCGAATTTCGATAAATCAGATCTCGCTGACACGTCAAATTTGGGCTAAAAGGCAAAAACTACGCAACTTAACGCTTTTCCGCAGTTTTTGCCTTTTAGCCCAAATTTGACGTGTCAGCGAGGTGTGATTTGTCGAAATTCGGAATCTACGCATACGATTCCCTTATATGGAAATATTTTCGAAGCTCTACGGCCTTGCCTAAGGCCTCTTCCAGCAAAAAAAAGGTGCGCAAAAAAAGATCGCATTTGTCCCACCCCCCTCTCTCTCTCTCTTTCTCTTTCTCTCTCTTTCTCTCTTTCATCATTTCCTGGTCAAAACTATTCAACAAAATCATTACAAAAAGCATTTCATCAGAAGAAGTGATTATGTGCCATTATCTTTTTTTTTTGTTTACCTTTTCTTTTTCATTTTCGTTGTTGATTGAGCGAAACATATGTGGTTGATTTTGTGTGCGATCGCTCTGTTTCTCTTTTTCCCTTAAACTTTTTTTGATTTGATCGATTGAATGAACAAATATTGAGATGATAAAGATTTTTAATCAAATTGAAGCAATAATTGAAATGTTATCGTTGAAAAAAGGGAACTTTCGATCAGTTTTGGGGTTTCATTTATGCATCAAATGGAGCAGTACTTCTTCAAAACTTCCCAAGATGACAAGATGATCATTTTGATCAATTATCAATATCCAGTTTTCAAGATTCGCAAATTTGCAACAAAATAGAATAAAATCATTTTCTTGAAACTTTATTTGACACACACGAAAAACTAGACTTTGTCGAATGATTGTAAAGGTGCAAAGAGTTTTTGTTTTTTGGAGAGTTCAATGCTTTATTCAGTTTTCTTGATTGATCTTGATGACTTGGTGAAAAAATGTTAATTCTAGATAAAATGCTATTATCGTGCGGTGCGGAAAATGTCACAAAAAAATGGGGATACAGAGTGAACATTCCTTCATGAAGGGATGAAAAAAAAAAGATTTTTCATGAAGAATCATGAAAAACAAGCTCAAGTGAAAGGCCTACAAGAAAAATAAATCACAAATGCTATCAGTTGACGCTATCAACCACACAAAACTGTTGATATTTTGAAAAAAGCGCTCGAAAAGGCTTGGGAAGAGCTGCTTCTCCTATACCTTCTCGCCACGATCAACGCTTTTCTACGATGTTTGGACGCCTGTGTAAAAGCTGTTGGAGATCTCTTTCAAAAGGAATAGTTTTTATGAATTGTTATGAGACAATAAAACTTATTTTTAAGAAAAATCTTTGACTTTTTGAGTTGCTTTTTATGCAGAAACTTTTTTATACGTAACGGTAGTTTTGGCCCACCCTGTATTTCTTCAGAATCAACCAGTCAACTAAACCGGCCAACTAAACAAGTCAACTAAACAAGTCAACTAAACCAGTCAACTAAACCAGTCAACTAAACCAGTCAACTAAACAAGTCAATTAAACAAGTCAACTAAACAAGTCAACCAAACCAGTCAACTAAACCAGTGAACGCACCATCCCCTTTTCCCCATCATTACAAACCGATGTTCAAATGATTTCCCTGTTTCTTTTCACTTGAACTCTCCCCAACTTGTCACCCAATTTTGAGAGAAATATGATGAGGTGTTTTGATCGTTTTTCTCTTTCAAAAAGATCTCTCGATGTCCTTGATTGATTTTGCGACTTTTCGTTTCTGCAAATTGCGAATTGCAAACTGAAATGAAACACGATTTTTTTGATTCACTTGCTAATAATCTTCATTTTAAAGAACTCTATTCTAGATATTTTACATATTTTACATATTTTAGATGTTAAATGGCGGTACCACGAGCCTCTTATTGCTTGTCGGGATCGCTATTGTTTCATGGACGGTTTTTGAATTGAAATCAATCCAAAATCAACTCACCGATCCGCTTCAATATTGCCTACAACTCGCCTTGCAAATACAATCAACGTAAATTTGATTTAATGATAGAGACAAGAGAAAATGTGAAGGAAAGTACCACAAGAGCTTCAACAACAATCCGTTCAACAGCTGCCAATTGCTTGGATCGATGGACCTGGAGAGAATGTTAAATTTTGAATTCACGCTTTTTCTAACCTTTTTAAGCACCAAGCTTTTCAAAAAAAAAAGCCAAGATTTAGCTAGAAGCCACCTACATGAAACACATATTTGAAGTCTTTCGTTTACTTGGATATCATGTGATTACGGGTATTGAATTGCATTTTTAGTCTCATTACTCTTCTCTTTGTCTTTCCTATTTCTTCTTTTGCAAAGAATCTATCTATAGCACAGTGGTAGAGACGCTAGACGGTAAGCAGAAGGTCGTGGGTTCAATTCCCTCTAGATTCTTTGCCATTGATTACTTTAACTAGCAAAATCTACTTTCATGTGAACATCTTCAGGACCTCAACCGCTAAATGTTCAATGGGATGTGATGTGGACTCACGAGTTCCCGTTTAGCAATGATTTGTATAGGTACTAGGGGGGATAAAACGAAATATCTTATGCACAATCTTTATATACGATAGCGCGATAAGAGACTGAATCTTCTAGACATCACATCCATGGAGCTTCGCCCGATCAACTCATCAATCATGTACCTGGATCGGGATTTTATACAAGTAAGGTAAAAAGATTATTTAAGTAAACAATTGTTGACTTTACCCTATTTCAAGGTGGCTCTTGCAACGGCGAATATCTCGATTGGTGTCCCACAAGCATTTCAGTTACCATATGAAAAGGAGAAGTTCATCGAGTTTGCTAAGGTTTTTTTTCTTCATCTAAATTGTTAAGTGTACAGCTCGAAAATGCAAACACGCCATAGCTGGTGCATTGAATTTTTCATCTTCGTTCTAATAACCTTTGACTTGAACGCGCTGGTCCTCTTATTGGTTGGGGTTGGGATTTAAACCCGTGACCTCTCGCTTACCAATCAGCCAACGCTCTACCGGGCCAACGCTCTACCGGGCCAACGCTCTACCGGGCCAACGCTCTACCGGGCCAACGCTCTACCGGGCCAACGCTCTACCGGGCCAACGCTCTACCGGGCCAACGCTCTACCGGGCCAACGCTCTACCGGGCCAACGCTCTACCGGGCCAACGCTCTACCGGGCCAACGCTCTACCAATCAGCTACACCGATACGTACACTACTGGACAATGAAATATCATATTTGAAAAAAGATCGTTACTTTCGCGCGTCTGTAACTCCCTTGTCTTTGCGTTGAAACTTTTAGTGTTATACATTTTCTGAAAGCTCTTTTCAAGGGCTACACAATGGTAATATTAATATTTAGAAATACGGTAAAGACAAGGGAGTTACAGACGCGCGAAAGTGACGAAAGTATATTTCAAATATGATATTTCATTGTCCAGTAGTGTATCTCGTTGCCCCCAAGATAGGACTTTATGCCTTACTCTTAGTACTCTCGCATAGGAATCGAGAATTCAGTGCACTAGAAAAGGTGTGTTTACATTTTTCTAGCACAAAGAAAAATTCGATTTTTCCACATAGGAAAACCCCGACTACCTTTGGGTTCAAAAAGACAACAATCATCGAAATATCGAGATCAAATTATTGACTGAGATTGATTTCGAGAAACCCGAGAGTTTCGTTCAGCGATTCGTCGACAATCCACTTTTAATCGATAACCGGTAAACCATTTGGGCATTTGAAAATCTTTTTTTTTGTTCACTTAAGTGCATTAACTTTTGAAGGCGAGACTTTTGAAACAAGACTCAGAAACTCTCTAGATTTCTTTACATTTTAAGGTCAAAGTTTGAAAATAAGATTTAAAAAGTAACTCTTGACCTGATCTTGGACCGAGTTTGGCCCGAGTTTGGTCCGAGTTTGGCTTCTGAGTTTGGCCCGAGTTTGGCCCGAGTTTGGTCCGAGTTTGGCTTCTGAGTTTGGCCCGAGTTTGGCTTCCGAGTTTGGCCCGAGTTTGGCTTCTGAGTTGACCATAGGTTGGACAAACTCATAAATTCATTTAACGTTGATGAGTTTGAAAATTTAATTCAAGAAAAACTTGTACTATTTGTGGAAATGATTTAAACTGTTGTTTAATCATCTTTTAATCTTTTTAATCACCAACATCATTTCTGAAACTCTCTAGATAAACACCAATCCATAACTCTGATAAAATGATCTGAAAAATTTGGATACCCATAAGAAAAGTGAAGCAACTTTATAAAAATTAGTGAGTTTTCGAATCTAGTCCTAGAACTAGATTCAAACGCGTCTCTACCACTGAGCTATGGATAGCTTCTTTGCCAAAGAAGAAATAGGAAAGACAAAGAAGACAAAGAAGAAGAAGAATGAGTCTAAAAATCCAATTCCCTTTAATGCAGAATTTCACGCTGATTTCGAAGCTGTTTTCCGTTTTTTGCACAATGACTCTCTATCAAAAGTCGTCTAAAAAAATTTAAAATTTGTAAAGAAAAATAAAACTTTCCTGACAGGAAATGGGATTTCATAAGGCTTCTTCAGTGCTAGCCAAACGTGGGCTGGCAGCGCAGTGGGTAGAGGGCTTCTATACGAAACTCCCTCCCTCATTTCTTTGCTTGGATTCAATTCCATCCTTTGTTTTCCTTTGACCTTTCAACACTTAAATTTGTTTTATTTTTTAGCTTTCAAGAGGTATTATACTGAATTTTTTTATATTAAAATTTCTAAAATGAAAGATTTTCAATCATTAACAACAATACTCGTGAAATTTTCAGTAAATTTGACATCGGTATTTACACGGTGATCACCTCATTGCGTCCTCTCAAAGTCTACATCTTGGATGAGGGATTGTTACGGTAATTTTTGTGCATATTTATCGTAAATCCTCTAATACGTCGCTTAGTCGTACAGTCGTGCAGTCGTACAGTCGTACAGTCACGTAGTCGAACAGTCGTGTAGTCGTACAGTCGTGTAGTCGTACAGTCGTACAGTCGTACAGTCGTACAGTCGTACAGTCGTACAGTCGTGTAGTCGTGTAGTCGAACTTTGAACATCAAAATCTCCGCGCTCGTTTAAGCTTTAGTGTTCGCTTTTGTGTCAAATGATTGCTTTTGAAATCTAGTATTTTTTGATAACAAAAGTTTAGTTCAGAAAAAGTGTAGCGGATGAGAAAAGATGATTTTTCTAAAAAGAATTTAGACTACGCAACTTTACGCTTTCTATTAGAGCATTTACGGTATAAAATGTCTCACGTTTGCGCTTAATAATCTCAAAAATTTGTTCAGCTTTTGTCCTGAAGACTATCATCCATTTGATCAAAAGAAAGTCGATAAATACGTGGTCGGCGATGATTACACACCGATTTGGGAGGTTTGTGATTTTTGTGAATGTGAAATGTGATTTTTCTTTTGTTAAAGCACTCCAACAGCAATAGTTTATTTCCATTTTTTAAGCTCTATGCAAAAATTACTCTAATCCTAATGCAAGTTTGCTTTTGTTTCCAAAATTTTACATTTTCAGATGTTCTCCCTAAAATCGTATTACATTGGTGAAAGGTTAAACTTCAAAAATTCTCTCAACGCCTATTTGAAAGCTCAAGGGAAAAGCCCGGAAATGATTTGGAATCAAATCAGAAAAATCATTGCTGAAGTAAATTTGTGATAGCTAAAATTCCTCTAATTTCTTTTTTTTTTCAGGTTTTCTATCAACAACAAGAGAAAATGTTGACCGTTTTCGAATCCACGACTTTAGGACCTCGATTTTTTGAGTTGAGTCGCTTCGATTTCATTGTCGATGATGAATTGAATGTTTACTTAATGGAGGTAACAAAAAGTTTCGAGTCCAATCACAGAGTAACCATTTCAAACATTTAGGCAAACATGTCCCCAAATCTCTCGAGTGGTCACTTCAAAGAGAATCAAATCCTCTATGAACAGGTTTAAGGGATCTAGTGTGATGATTGCTCAAAAAGCTAATAGCAAAATAGCAAATTCTACGCTTCTTCTTGAAAATCCGGGTCTTTTCATTGTGAAAAGCTATTATAGGAAAAAAAAGCAAAACCTAGCAAAACCCAAAACCAATTCGATTCTCTTGTGCCTTTTCTTGGGATAAAGAGTTAAAATAAATTCCGCCAATAGATTCTACGGCCCTGAAAACCCTAAGGCACAAAATTTTAACATTAAATCTCATTTGGGAATCATTTACAGAATAAAAAATCAATGTGTAAAGATTGACCAGGCGTTCTTTCTGTGGCCAAGTAATCGCTCGCCGTCTGGCACACGCCGATAGATTTTATCTGAGGTTTTTCTACTGGAGCACCTGTGCTTTTGGGCGTATCGAGTATCAATGTGACAGAAGATCCGACAAAAGAGCAACTGTTTTTTCTTCTCACTCGCAACGGTAGCTATTCAAATGATTGTTTCTGACACCTTTATGCTCCTTATCGAAACTCCATTCAAAAAGCTCCATTCAAATCTTTTAACCCACATCCATTCAAGTCCCGAATCTCCATTTGTGAATATTCAAGTGACTTTTTAGCCGGAGGCCGTTTTCGGCGCTACTATGCCCAAATTCTTGGCAACAATTTCGACCCAAATTTAGGCTGTATTTTTACTGCAAAACCGAGCCGGGCCGGCCGTTGGAGTGGCTAAAATTTTGATTATTTTGAAAGAAAAGCGATCAGTCACGTGTTCAGCCGAAGTGATGAAGAAATGAACCGTTAAACGTCCAAATACAAGCATCAGATGAACAAAAGAGGAACCGTTGGAGTAGAAAGAAAATCGTATTGGCTTTGGGTTTTGCATATGATAGCCTTTCACATTGAAAAGATCCCGATTTCCGAGAAGAATCAATTCAACTTCTAAACAGAAAATCAAACCATAAAAAATCAGCTTCAGGTGCTAATGAACATTTTCTCCCTGATCGGCGTCGAGAAACACATCAAGAAAAATGAAATGAACTACTTAAAGTAGAAAAGATCGATTGTCTATTAAATTTGTATCCTTTTTTCAGATCTCGAGGCGGTCTCTGGAATTCATTCATTTCCGATCGAGATCTCTCGATTTCAATTCCAGAATGCGCGACTGAGATTTGCTCGGATTGTCAGAACCAAGAGGTTTATCCATTTTTGTTGACTTTCTTATCCAATCTATCCAATCGATTCACTAGTTTTCTATAACTTTTTTTTGTTCTTTCTTTTATCTAAAAGCTTTAAAACAAAAATGTTCAGAAATGCGATCTGTGCACGCATTGTTGGTCGAATGATTTCCTCGAGATTCTCCGTGAAACTACCAGAGAACATCAATTTCGCAGAAATATGTTCAGAATTGATTTTTCACATAAAAACTTGGTAACTTTTACGAAAGAAAAAAAAGCTTTTACCTTAACACGTTCGGGACGGTTCGGTTTACTGGTGGACGAAGGCCGTCTGGCCCCTGGGACGGTTCGGCCCACCGGTGGACGAAGGCCGTCTGGCCCCTGGGACGGTTCGGTTTACTGGTGGACGAAGGCCGTCTGGCCCCTGGGACGGTTCGGCCCACCGGTGGACGAAGGCCGTCTGGCCCCTGGGACGGACGGAAAAGGCACAAGAGACACCCCTCGTCCACTGGGGCAATAACGCAAAAAAAAGCCTCGTCGCGAATGTCTTAAAAAGTGAAATGTTACTGAAGTTTAAGTAAAGAATTCTTTTTTTTTTGTTTTTTCTTTTATCTAAAAGCTTTTATCTAATTTCAGAAGACCAAAGAGGATGAACTTCTTCAGAAATGGTTCATGAAAAAGTGTGAGGAGAGAATTGATTGGTGTCCTTTGTGATTGAGCTTTATTCTGCCATTTACTTTGTCTTCAGACGCACTCTTTCTAGTGCACTGATTTCTCTGCTTTTAAACGCAAAATTGAAATAATCATTTACTGAAATAATCGAAAAATAATGCACATAGATAACGTAAAAAAAAATAAATTGTTATCTAAACGGACAAGTTATTGAATGGATGCCCCTAGAAGCGCTATGTACAGCAACATGGGGATTCCTATTTGATGAACTCCAAAGCATACTTTGTTCTCTCGTAAACGAAACCTTTCTGGATCATGAGAAACCGAAGAATCTAGTGCACCAGAAAGGCTGCGTTTCCGTTTCACAAAGTCCACCTGGAAGCAGCTCTCGAAATCTCGTTTCAATAAAAGCGCTAAACAACATCAAGTAAAGTAATTTTGAGAAAAACAAGTATAAGCTATTAAACTATGCTTATTGAATATAACATCAAGTTTAAACGAGAGTAACGAGTAAACGAGAGTATTGGGTATAGAGTAACGAGAGTAACGAGTAAACGAGAGACAAGTATCGGAAAGCATTTCTTTTTGGTGAATAAGCAACGAGAAAGACAAAGGAGAGACAAGGGAGGGACAAAGGAGAGACAAGGGAGAGACAAGGGAGGGACAAAGGAGAGACAAAGAAGAGACAAAGGAGAGACGAATTTGGGGGACTATAACAAGTCAAAAACTCTTCAAATCAGCATCGATTTATACACAAAAAGATGGGAAAATTATGCCCAGCTTCAAACAAAAAAATTGAATTTGTAGATATAATAAAGCTGGTGATACACTGTTTTTTCAAAAAAAAATTTTCCTTATTTTTCACTAGACGAGTGATATCACAGCTTTTGAATACGGGAAATGCCTTTTCTATTTTTCTTTGGCAACTTTGGTTTTCTTAAATTCACAAGGTTTGGGGAGAAAATTCTAATGGGAATGGGATTCTAATGAATTTAAGCACTTTTGTTTTCAGTTTTCATCTCTAAAATGTCTATTTTGTGCTCTTCAAAAGGAATCTAGAGCACTGAATTTCCGAATTTTCAAGAAAATTCAAGAAAATCGAAGAATTTAATGCACTAGATTGGGCACAAATTATGTACAGTACTGGACAATGAAATATCATATTTGAAAAAAGATCGTCACTCTCGCGCGTCTCTTACTCCCTTGTCTTTGCGTTTAAACTATTAGTGTTCTACATTTTCTGAAAGCTCTTTTCAAGGGCTACACAATGGTAATATTAATATTTAGAAATACGGTAAAGATAAGGGAGTTACAGACGCGCGAAAGTGACGATCTTTTTTCAAATATCATATTTCATTGTCCAGTAGTGTAAATATTTAACAAAAGCACCGTTCCATGAAAACTTGAACATTTTAGGAGAACTCTAAATGTGTGGGCAAAGGCTCGCTTCTCTCTGGGGTAAAATCGAGACTCTTTCTCGATTTCAACGGATGCTCATCACTTGGCGATAAATTCACGTGTTTTCTTGCCAAACTGCATGAGAATGTTCGTCCCATTCGAGCGATTCGCATCGCCGGTCGAACCGATGTCCCGCAAGTTCGTCGATGAAATGAATACTTCTTTAGCTTCTCGAGATGCTCGGGAAAGTTCATTGGCACGTATCCGAATGGCTCGACCACCTAGAAATTTGTTTCTAAGTGGATTGCTTGTGTAGTTCTTCATTTCTTCATTTATTTCTTTGTTTCAGCTCAAAAACGCCCATTCATTTTCTGTGCATTTTCATACATTCATTTCTTTTTATGATTTTTCTACCTGTAGACTTTCAAAGGAGTTCGTTGAGTTGGCGGCGAAAGTCTCGAAAAAATTCTTGTATCCCTTGTCAATCACGTAGATTTCCTTGATGTCTACATGAGGGTAATTCTCGGAGTTTCGAGATCGATCGATTTCACGCAAAAGACGAGCCCTGAAAATCGTCAATGAAAGTGAAGTCAATTAAAATATTAAACATTTATTCACACGAATAATGTAGTACACAGTACTAAGGAACTAAGTACAAGTCCTTAGTTCTAAATTTAGGAAAAAATCCATCAAAAAACGAAAGACAGTCTAGATGGCGGGATTGAACCCTTGACCTCTCGACTAAGATACAGGGATCTCAGCCAGTCGGCCATAAAGAACATGGTTCGATGGGGAAATTTGTTGACTTACATGGATGGTCCTCGTTTCTGACTGTATTCACAGTAGAAAATGGGTTTCCGTGTGTGCATCAGTTGGCGTTGAGTCGAGCATTCTGGATAGAAAATCGTTTCAAGTGTCTCCGTATAATCCCATTTCTCAATATCGTGAACACTATCGAAAAGGGAAATCGCATTCTAAATTTGTTCTTGATAAAAAAAACACCAATATCTCTCGAAACTTTACCTTAACATGTCCTCCTTGATATTCATAAGGATATCGACAATCGATGAGCACATATTGTTCGTTGAACTCTTCTCTGGTCATCGTTCTATAATTTGTTTTTTTCTTATTGACACAATAAACATTAAATCTTGTAATATTTCTGAAGTTTTTAAAAGTTACTTCAATAAGTTCGCAATCGTTTCGCCGGAAATTCTCTTGTATGCTGAGTCTTCATTTGTGTCAAGAATTGGCAATGAGTAGAACTGCAAGAACTTTAATAGAATCAAACGAATTAGATTCTTTTTTTAATTTAGTAAACTCATTTGATAGTTTTCAAGATCAAAAGTTAGTGATTCTCCAAGAATTGGCAATGAGTAGAACTGCAAGAACTTTAATAGAATCAAAGAAAAACTAGATTCTTTTTTAATCTAGTAAACTCATTTGATTAAAAGATATTTCATGATAAAAAGTTAGTGATTTACCAAGAATTGGCAATGAGTAGAACGGCAAGAACTTTAATAGAATCAAAAGAACTAGATTCTTTTTTTAATTTAGTAAACTCATTTGATTAAAAGATATTTCAAGACAAAAAAGTTACTGCTTCTCCAAAAATTGGTGATTGAGGGAAAGTTGGACAGGAGTGTGTGCGTTGGAAAGATGGACGGAGTGGACGAGTGAAATTGAAAGTCGACGAGGTACTGGCTTCCTAAAAGAAATTGTTTAATTGTTTAATTGTTAAATTGTACAATTGTACAATTGTATAATTAAGTTTATAAAGTCAAAGAAAACATTGAAAAGAATCAATTTTATCATTTTTAAATTCTAGAATCCTTCATTTCCAGATTATTCAAAATCTTTTCGAAGTCTAAGAATGAGATTTTCTTTTTCTTTTACTTTTTCTAAGTCTCTTTAGTTTTTAATCTTTTTATATTTTCCCCATATAATTCTTTTTTTTCCAACAAAAAGTGTGAATGCAAATTTGCTTCTCAAGATTTAACGAGGTCACATTGAGTGAGTGTCAAGCATTGCCACAGGCACTCTCTGCAACCATGTGAACGAAGAAGAACTTAAGAAGAAGAAGAAGAAGAAGAAGAAGAAGAAGAAGAAGAAGAAGAAGAAGAAAAAGTTTTTCTCAAATCTTATCCTATAAATTATCTAACTATAAGATATCTAGATAAAATCTAATGCGATCTTTTTCTTTCTAATCCAATCTAGACTCACCTCATTATCGTGTTCCTCTTCCTTGAGGCGTTTCGTCGCCTCATAAAGCGTCATTTGTGATCGCTTTCTCGTTGATGGCTGAAAAAAAAATTAGGATAAAATCGAAATATAACAAGAAACATAATCTATTATTCAACTATCAAATACTAGAAGGAAAGTAGTCAGCTTAAAAATTAGATAATTTTCTGAATACTCTAATACTCCAATACTCCAATCCTCAAATCCTATAATAGATTATAATAAATCCTATAAAGCTGAAGTATCCTTTTGATTTAATTATTCATCTATCAATTACCTTAAACGATTTATTTCGACTCAAAGAAAGACCATTGTTAAAGCGACTTCTCGGTGACTCATCAACAATACTGAAAAATCAAAAATGATCTCTTTTCTTCTGGGTTTTTAGAAAACACAGACTTTCAAAGCTTTCAAAGCTTCAAAGCAAAGCTTTCAAAGCTTCAAAGCAAAGCCTTCAAAGCTTCAAAGCAAAGCTGAAAGCTTTGCTTCAAAGCCTCAAAGCCAAAAGGCAATCAAAGCCTCAAAGCTTCAAAGCCATTATAAAGTTTTCTTTTTAAGCTTTCTCTTTTAAAACAAACCTCGTATTTGTTTTTTCTCCAAAAGGCAATCGACGCACTTTGCTGATCGCTTGCCCTGATTGCAACTTCATCTGGCACATCTCATCCGACATATACTTTGTAGCACTCTCGTTTTTTTCCGGCTAAAATTACACTGCTATAAATTCTTAAAAAGTAGCTAAATCTATTTTTATTTTGAATTTGAATTCAAATCCAAATCCAAATCCAAATACAAATCCAAATCCAAATCCAACCGTCACATTGTAGAGTTCCGAAAAGTCAATCGGCGATCCGGGGTTCATCTCTTGTGTCGACGAGCCGAGCGATCCAAAACCCGAATCATTTGAGTTTTCCTCCATCAATGGTGTGAAGGATGAAGTGAACATTGCTGTAAAAAAGAAATCGAGTAAAAAGAAAAGTATAACAATTTGGCATAAAATCTATACTAAAGCAATAAAAAGTTAAAAAATTTATAGGAATGCTATCGGAATGAAAACTTAAAAGAACTTAAACTCAAAGAACTTAAACTTAAACAAACTTAAATAAACAAACAAACAAAAAAAGAACTTAAACAGCAAAGAAAAGCCGATTATCAAAAACACCTGCTAGAATAACTTAAAAGCTTCTATTGTAATGTGAAAAGTGATCAAACTGATTTCAAGTACATCATTCCAAAAACTTTTATTCTACTAGGCTAAAAGTTGCTTAAAAATACCGTAGCAAATCTTCGAGTAGCAAAAAAGGATATCAAGTACAAGCACGCATTGATACAGTGCTTTAAAAAGTACAATAGTAAAAAGGATATACAGTACTGAGAAGGGAACTAAATAAGAAATGAAAATGAGAAATGATTCTTGAAAACTGATGGAGAGACTTCTGAAATCTTCTCCAGATTTCCCTTTGATAAATGCCGACAGACTTTTTTAAGCTTGAAATTTTGAAGAAAATTCTCTATGAAGTGTGCCGCATGCCAGAGGGGAAAAGCTTGCCGGGACAATTCTCTTTCAACTTGCCGATTATCAAAAACACCTGCTACGTCTGTTAAGAGTTGAAGCTTTATCTAATTGTAAGATAACAGAATTTGAATTAGATAAGTTGCCATTTTCAAATCAGTAGCCCAGTAGTTCAAGAATGAATATGGTATGAAAAGTTTTACAAAAACAATTTAGAGTCAATTGAATCTCTTTAAAGTGATAGATTTATCCATTGATATTCACGCACAATAGAAGAGACAGTACTGTACTCCAAGCAAGATAAAAGAGACAGTACTGTACTCAAAGCACAATAGAAGAGACAGTATTGTACTCCAAGCACAATAGAAAAGACAGTACCGTACTCCAAGCACAATAGAATCAAATAGATACAAAGAGACATCAAAAAGAGTAACCATTAACCACTGTAGGGTTCAAATAGAGTACATAGAGCATCTGAAAAATGCTTGCGCATACCGTTGGTGCCATGCCGTGGAACACATTAGAAGGGGGACAGCCACGAGGAGACAGTCCCGCCTCGAGGGGGACAGGTGGCCCAAATGAGTCTCTCCCCTCATCCTCTCCTTTCCATTTACCCATCTATCCATTCTTCTTATTCATATTCCCATACAGTCCCTCTTTCTCTGCTTTTTTTTGTCTTTTTGAGGCGGGAGGTCGTCGCGCAATGCGGGACGCCCTGGGCACTAGGTCTTATCCATCCACCAGTTGAACCCGGGTCATTTAGAATATTAGAAGCCAGATACTTTAACAAAGCCTTAACGTAGATAATTTACAATCTCTCAAAGATTCTAAGAAGATAATATTTGTAAAGCAAAGCTTGCAAAGCAAGAAAATTGACGAAAATCTATAGATGAATCGATAGTTAATGAGAAGCAGAAATCAAAAAGCTTTAAAAGTTGAAGACAAATGAAAGATCGAGATTGGGAGGTTGGAAGAATGGAAGAATAGACGGAGGTTGTCCCGACTTGTCTCTCGAAAACACACTCCGGGTCACATCTTGTGGCGCAACCCATCTCTCAGCCACCGTAACTCTAGAGCAAAAGACTATAAACAGAGAATAGGTAGAACGGGGAATAAATATTGGGGAAAGTAAAGAGAGAGCTGAGATTTACCCTCCGAAAAATGGGGGGACACCTGGAGGACGTTTGAGGTCGCCTCTTGGCTCTTTTCAAGGGGCACCGGGTTACGCGGCATGCCGACGGTCAATCGAGGGCGGGAAGGGACAGGCTGGGGTGGGGTTGGGTGGGATTGGGTGGGGTAAGGGTAGGGTAAGAATAGAGTAAAGGTAGACTAAAGGCAGGGTAAAGAGGTAGATCCTTGCCACTGCTCTCAACACACCCAACACTTTGCTGCTATTACCTCAAGAAATTCGTGTATTGTCTTTTAAGAAAGCGGCGGTGATCAAAGCTTTTCCGATCTCCGATTCAGGAATTGAAAAAACTTACTGACTCTTCAGTGAGTTTAGAAAAAAATCGAGTTTAAATTATGAGCAATACTAATCTGAACTGTTTACTTGTTAACTGTTTAGATCTGAACTGTTTACTGGATTTTAGAAGACAATATAGACAAATTTTTGAAGTCTTTTTCAGTCTTTTGAAGTCATTTGAAGACATCTCCAAATCTTAACCCACCTGCAAAATAAATTTCAAACTTTTTGACCTCTAGTTGGGCTCAAATTAATGAGGTTTCCTCTTTCCCCTTTCCCCTCTGAAATCTCCGATTTGCAAGGTAATCAGTACCCGAAAAACTCATGGTTTTCTGAGGTTCATCTTATAGTTTGACTCAAAAAAGAAAAACGGAACGCTTTGTGAGGGTTTGTCGAGAGGCTCTCCTTTTCTTTCCCCCCGATCATAAAGAGGATTACGGTAGCATTCAAATGAGGCGACCACAACCCTCAGGGTCTTTAGGTCATTAGGTTTTGGGGGAAAAAAGAAAAGAGAGGAAAAGGGGAATCAAGGGAAACGAAAATCAACTATACTATGTTTTTTTGATATAAATTGAAAGCTGAAGACAGTTGAATTTAAAGGAAATAAGCTTGTTTTGAAAAGAAAAATTCGCAGAAAAAGCTGGGGTTTGTTGGGGGAAAATTGGAATTTAAAAGCTAAAACGAGTTAACAATGACTATAGCTATAGAATAGCATATAAAATTAGTTTATAAATTAGTTAGATTAGTTATAGAATAGATTAGAATGTGATATTCTTAAGCTGAATTTAACAGCCACTAGAGCTAAACAGAAACAGAAACAGAACCAACCACCAGAGCTAAAGCTAAAGATTTTCTCGAATTCGGCAATCAAAATCCAACCGGAAATACTCGATTATTATAGATAATATCTAATAGTATTATAGATTATTATAGATTATTATATTATTATAGATTATTATAGTATTATAGATTATTATATTATTATAGATTATTATAGTATTATAGATTATTATAGTATTATAGATTATTATAGTATTATAGATTATTATAGTATTATAGATTATTATAGTATTATAGATTATTCTAGTATTATAGTTTATTATAGATTATCGATATTTAATAGATTGAGTTCTCTTTTTAATGCTTTCATTCATAGCCAAACCCCCGGAAACCTAGAGAACTTCAAAAGCAAGTTCTATAGTTTTGTGAAGCAAAAGCAAATATAAATCTTTCTGTAAAAATTATAGATTAAGACTTTTCAAAGAGATTTCATTCGTAACTGAGAACTTTTTAGAAAAAAAATGAGTGAAGGTAGAGGGGGAGGGATGGATGGGTGGGGTCGACCCATCCCCCTCCCCCATCTCCATAAGAAATCCCCCTCCTTTTTCACACAAGAAAAATTTTGCCTCTGGCCACCCTCATCAGTTGTCAGATGGGGCAATGTGTTCCGAATTTTCAAATTTTTTTCAAATCCCCCTCTCCATCGTAAATCGGAACCTCTTTGTGATAATGGAAAGGGATGATAAATCAATGGAAATTTGAGATAATTTGAGAATATAATGCAAATAAATCCTAGTTGTTGTTGACCATTTTAAAATTGTTTCTTAGCTAAATAGATTGTCTAGACACTCTAGAATCTAGGCAAGCCTACTGTAGGAAATTTAGGCTACAATAAGTACACTGCAATGTGCTATAGCCACTGCAATGTGCTATAGCCTCTGCAATGTGCTATAGCCTCTGCAATGTGCTATAGCCACTGCCTACAAGTGCACTGTAGCCAGCCTTTCTACAGTTTCTAAAAGCCGAAAATTTTAGAAAAATGAAATCCAATTTACTAGAGAACCCAGAGTTCTTACAGTGCAAAAACGATAATTTTAGTCCTACCATAACTTCTAGAGCTTACTATGTGAATCAGCTATAAGTTTTTTGAGATTTAAAACTGAGCCTGGCACACACGAGCACAAAAATCGGCGGTGTTCCGCAGTTCATTTGTGCCGTTCATCGATCACCTCATTCACCTCACACCCAAGTTCGCCTACTTCTGTCAACGGGAGTGTCCATTTACAGAGATCGGATAAGAAATTGAGGGTTAACTGGGGATTTGGATGGGTGAAAAAAAAAAGAAAAAAGAGATACGAATCGCTCTCCTTTTTTCACGCTCTGTGCAAATTTAGTGCTTTTTTTTTGAAGTCAGGGTTGATTTGAACTGGGTAGATTTGAAAAAAAAATGAGGTCATCTTTGGCTCTATATAGGTGTTGCGTATTGGCCTAGAGGGTGCCAAGGACCAGATCAGAGTAGGGGAAAACAGAAATTCTCATAGTTTTGTCATAGTTTTGCCTTAAGAATCTTTTGAATCCGGGTTTTTTTTGTAAAAATAAACATTGTGTAATCGATTTGAGTATTCAAGAAGTTTATCACTGTAAAGAAAGCATTTGAATGGTTGTTTTTATGATTTTCTACAAAGTACACCGTTGGCTTTTTAAATCTAAACTAGCCAACGAATTCTTTGTTTAGTTTCATTCTCAGTTTACAATATCTTTTGTTTAAAAGCTAGGGATAACTATAAAGGCTTCAAAGTAAAAATGATCAAACGAGTCGATTCAAATTTCAAACCCTTTCCACCTTTCCCCTTTCCCCCCAGGCCACCATTTACAGTGCGTAAAATTTCACCACTTGACATATCTCAACTCCTAAATCTTCTCTTCTTTTCTACTCTACTCTTTTCTTTTCTTTTCTATTCTTTTCTACACCACCTTGACCCATTGAAAAGATTTCACATCACTTCAAAAACTAATTGCTGATAAAATGATAGGAAATGGCAAGAATTCTCTTTGTGTAATTGTCCCGAAAGTGAGAGAAAAGTGGTGGAAATTTGAATTTGAAAAGTTTAGTTCAGCGGCATTAATGGAAAGGAAAGTAAAGGGTTTAAAATGTAGTTCTTTTGGAGATGTTTCACTTGAGAAGTTT